TCGCGCATGCCTGCAATTGAGCACAGGGCTGGAGCTTTCTAGGTCGGGGTAGACGCCCTGGTTTGCACCACCCCAGTCAGAGGGTCTTTATGCTTCAGAAGAACATTCATCTGACAGTAAACCTATGCAAAAGCATTCGTGCATGCCGCAATCTGGCAGAGTGCTGGAGCTCTCTGGTTTAAGGGACAAGTAGTGATCGACACCAACCCTCCAGTGTGTTGGGGCCTGTTTGGAGACTGTCCCTCTGCTTCCGGGTTCTTTTGGAGTGTTAGGTGGGATGAGGTTGAGTCAACAGTTTCTCTGAGCTGAGTGTATGCTAGGTATGGTGCATACGTCAGTCTTTCAGTTTCAGGTAGTCACAGCAGTTTCCTAATTAATCTTGATGTCCATTAGCATTTTGCAATGTTATGTTCATGCGTGCTTGATCGTGTGCTTTTGTTTTGGTAAGTAAGCATATGATCATGAGACTGTGTCACCTCAGTAGGGGTGCTGAGCTTTCAAAGAAAGGCAGTGCATTGCTCTAGCAGGTCGTTGCTGCTGAGAATCAAAGCCATCGCGACCTTCTTACCGGCAGACTCAATTTCTTCGCTGCTGACAAGTTGCATCTTATCTTGTCCAGCAGCTGCAGGCCCCAGCTCTGCAGGACGTCGTAAGTAACATGCTTGCCCGCATTTTTCATCGCTAGTCTTAAACGGGACGTCGCTCTGGCAAATTCCTGAAAGTGTTCCTGCCTGCTGGACTCTCTTGCAACTCCTGGCTTTGTTCTTGCGCTGCTCTTTCAGTACAGACAGATCAACAGCAGCAAAATATCAATCTTCGTTGCAGGAATTTTGAGTTAGCTACTGTTGGTGATGCTTCCGCCTCGACAAATTCATGCACGTGGCAAAAGGTGTCGTTTGCTTTGCTTCAGGCCCGATGGAAACGACGCCCCCGAAGGCGGACTTCGTGAAGTGGCTGCGCCAACAGCCTCTGCCCAACAGCTTCGACGAAACGGTGGATTTCATCAGGAGGGCCCCCGTGTCCTTCGAAACCAAGGAGGCGATTCTCAAGAACCTTTTGCCAGTCCAGAATGCTCAGGAGGAGGATGGTGGGGTCGTGTACATCGTCCTCCATTACGAGGGCATTGGTGAGCAATAAACCGGTTTACCAGGCCTTGAGGTTACGTCAGTCTTACTGTTGGATTGAAGACGTTAAGTATGTCAAACCAATTGAAGAAATAATACCTGGACTGGGCCCTCAACCGTGGATGGATGGTGTGCTGGTTAGAGATTGGTTGCTTGTCCTGAAACCGAATCTGGACATTTATGAGCCTTGGTAAGAGTTCGAAGCCTGGTTGCCTGTTCGACAGGAGAGTTTCAAGCCATGCAATCAGAGTGGTTCGCAGCCAAAGCTTCCTGTCATTCAAATGTGGATTTCTGAGACGAGTCTGCAAGATCTACAACCAATTTCAGCTGGGTTAAGTGACTATCAATAAAGCCCTAAAGTCAAGGAGCACCCAAACACATCTAAACCCAAACCTACCCCATCCATTCCCATGGCGTCAACTCAGTCCACATGAGTGCTTAGGCTGAAATCAGTTGTAAAAGTAGGGTCAACCTGCATATTTTCCGCTCACATGTTCTTAATGAGCTGATTTGCAGGCTATCATGCCCTGGACCGCAGCGACTACAAGGAAGCCTTCTACGAGATGGCCCGCCAGAAGTACCGCGTTGTCACCCTGGTTGGGCCAAGGCGCACGGGCAAGAGCATGGGCGTGGTTAACGCTCTCCTTGACGTTCGGGCCGATCTGGTGAGGCCGACCTAACCTACGCAGATCTTTGCGGCAATGTAGCAGGGATACTGGTGATTGCAATGGTCTGTTGAATTGAGTGTCTGTTGCCTCTCCGGGTGGTTGTCATTGTCTGTGGTGACTTCTGGTTTTTCAAGCTTCAACACATCAACTCGATCATGCAGCTTTCTGGCATCGACCTTAGCCTTAAAGTGTGCCATGAAAACCGACACTCAACATTCATTGCAGGCCGAGGCAGAAGGCCGGGGGCGTGATGCAGCGATCTTCTACCACGAGGCGGTCCTGGACCTGCGCCATTCACAGATCAAGACTCTGATCGCCATCCTGGCATTTCTCGACATTCCAATCGTCTGTGACGAATACGTGTGCGCCGGGTCCCCGGGGGGGGAGCAACTGGCCCTTTCCATAAAGGTAGTTTCCAAGCTCAGCTCAAAAACTGTCCTAGATTGGTGTCCAGATATGGTACTTATATCCTGCATCAGGCATGCGACACGTCACATATGGTACGGTTCTTTTGTGATGGCTCTTGGCCAAAAACGTGCTTGACTTGCCTTTCTTCCCGCTGATTGATCTCCTCAATTCAGACCCGTCATTCCAAATTGTGACAGGCTTACCTGGACGATGCGGTATTCGGCAACATTCCCATCGGGCCTCTTGGCCTCATCCTCATGGGAAGTGAGCACGGCCCCATTGTCCGGGCATGCCAGCAGTCCCTCAACGGCATGTCGCACCGAGGAGCAGCTCCGTCGCCGGTTGCACTTCCCATGCCAACCTACTCGCAGCTCTGGTCGATCTATGCCCGCCGCCAGCAGGTCAGCCTTGCAGGATGGCGATGGAACATGCACAACCACTGGGGTTGCTGCTTCTGACTCTGTTCACAAGTCTATCTTGGCCCTGGAGAATCATTCTTGAGCTCGTGAGCTATTGGCTTGTCAGAAGACTGCACGGGTGGCTTGAGTTGGGTCAGATCAATGATTGGTGCATATTCTCCAGTGGGAAGAGGAGTCATAAGCTTATAAGATCTGTGCTTGTGATGGATCAGATGGAGGCGGCAGTTTTCGACCCCGCAGTGTTTCTGAGGCGCGTCACGTGTTCCGGCTTTAATTTGGCCGATCATGTTGAGGGTACGAGCCCAACCCCGGAGGAGTTGTTGGCACGCGGATTGAAGAGCGCTATTCTCTTACCCGATGAGGTAAGGTTTCTCGTCAGTTGACTGAGTCAGAGCCTTTTGGTCTACAGATTCTGGGATGGGAGTGTAGGTTGACACTGAAGGTGCTACACTTCCTGCTTTCATCATTACAAGGCCATCAAGTGCGAAATTCTGGGTTGTTAGTTTCTTGTCAGGGATGTCTGTTGTCCACTTCCTGCTTCCGTGAAGCCAGGGATTTCTGGTACACGAATCAAGATAGCGTCAGTCACAAGAGGGAAGAGACTCGGAACTGAAAAGCTTATGGTTCAGATAGACGATTGAGATCGAGACTGCTTGTGGGCTTGTGATCTGACGCGCAATTGTCCTCTTTAGCGCCTTTGTGTTGGCCAGCCTGCTTTCTTTTTGAAGCAGATCTTCCTACTCAGATGCGCCCTGATTAAAAACCTAACACCTTGAAGACTCATCGTTCAATCATGCGAACCGACTGCCATCTTTTCCCGCT